TAATACGAAATAAAGTGTCTTGATAATGTCACAAAGATTTCACAGTGGATCACAAATTAAGAAACGAGTTTTATTTACTCTTGATCTTAGATCATTAAGTTAATCCATTCCAAAATTTTCTCTTGGATTGATTTTTAAGTGTCTTGTTTCTTATGTTTTATTCTCAGAGCAATTTTCTCTCTATAAGAGATACGGGTATATTGATTTTGACCACATGACATATTCATGAATTAATCTCAATCACGTCTTATGCTCTTTACTCGAAACGAAACAAAATGTTTTGTTTCCTTTATAAATATAAATAAGTTATAAAGAGATAAATATGGCAACAAGGTTTGAAAAGGTTAATCATAAACTTACTTCCCATTTAGATAAATTTATCTTGCTTTTGGAGAAAATTTCTTATTCTATCTATTTTATTTTTATAATACTCTAGTAAAATATATCAGCCTAAATACACTGCTACCAAATATTGTCTACTTTGACTCGTTACAGTATTGTTGTCAGCCTCAAAGTTTTAAAACGTATCTGCTAGGGAGAAATTTTCACACCCTTATAAAAAATTTTCATTCTCCTCTCCAACCGACGAGGGTTCTCGCAATCTACCCCTTCAGAGGCCAGCGTTCTCGCTAGCACACCACTTGGTGACTACCCTTGATACCATTCGTAATAGCCGAAGACCACCGCTAGGAGATATTGTCCGTTTTGGCCCGTTACATATTGCTGTTAACCTCACGGTTTTAAAACTCGTCTACTAGGGGAGATTTTATAAGAAATGATTCGTTCCCCTTCCCAACCGATGTGGGATCTTATAGACAGTGATCCTAATGAACAGAGATATGATGGGTCACTACTTCTTTCTCGTGGTTTAATCATAATAACTCTAAAGTTATGCTGGCTCGAGTTAGAGCAACCATATGTTAAGTGAGGACAAAAATTATTGAAATAACTCGACACAAAGGGTCCATATATGGAGGCATGATTGGGCTAAATGTATATGGATGCATTATTGTTTTTGTGTGTGACATTTTATTTTTATTTTTTTAAAAAATAAATCATATTAGTTATATAGGAGTAAAAGTAGACTCAAATAATATATAATAATATTTCTATAGATTTATAGAAATAAACCATTATTGCATGGCTTGAAATATTATGGTCTCTAAAAGTGATGAAGATAAGTCATTCAATCTAGAGAAAGCCATAAGAATATAAGTCGTTCAAACTAGAGAAAGCCATCATAACAAGGACTTGACAATTACGAGGCAGCACAATTTTGTGGCTTGAAAGAAACGGTCAATTTTTTGATATCATAGCCAATTAAGAAGTTAGTCTGTGCAATGTTGCCGTAGATCTGTAGGCCGACGCCGTTACTGTCCATAAATGCCAAGCAAACGACGTTGTTATCCACCCTAATGAACAGGTTTTCTCGCTTGAGAGACACGTCGGCGCCTTCGAAATGCACTGTGACAGGTGGCACCTTATAGTCGTCGGTGGTGGTCGTATAGCAATACTCCACGCCTTGAATTGGACTAGTCGTGGGCTTCAGGTCCATCGCCTCGGAAATCGCCTTGGAGAAGCTTGTGTAGGTGTCCGGTGGCAAGAATGTAAGTGTCGTGCCGGAGTCGATAATGATGTTCCCGTTTGTTCCAAATGGTGAAGAGCTTGAAAAATCAAATTTGTTGCTTCCTACACTTATTGCTTCTATATTCAGCACGTAGAAAGTTTCGTAGTCGCCTTCTACAAACATGAAAAAAAAAATAATTACTTATACAATTTATCTTAGTATAACGAACAAACTCACGTAAAACTATAATATTATGCACTTTTAAACCCTAAATCAAAATCGACTCCTTTTCTCTAGAGCATACGACCAGTATTATCCACTTTTAAACCCTAAATCCAGGCCAACTCATTTTCTCTAGAGCACACGACCAGTATCTGGCTAAGTTAAGAGCGTGACTTTAATATTGTTTGTTACGACAATGAACTTCTACGATCTCTTACTTGTATACTCCTAATTTTACCTTACTGAGTTATTCACCTACCCACAAATCATTTTATCGATAAGAAAACATTTTGTATTTACCACTAGTATAAATCGGAGTCGAGACGACTCCAGAGCCAGAGACGATAGCATTAGAGCCAAAGTTAAGATAGCTCGAGTCGTGAGAGTTTCCAACCGGTGCCAAACAGTAAGAGAATTTCCCATCGGTGGCCGGCCCCATCTGCTGGATAAGGGAAGCTGAACCATGACCGAGCCCGACAATCCCAGAAACTTTAGAATCAAAAGAGCCAGCATTGTCATGGCCACAGCCAATCGCAGTCCGTGGAAACGCCACGGGGCGCCCGGAGGTGGAGTCCATTGTAAGGGTATCAACGGCAATATCCCCGTTGCTGTGGGATCCATCGCCGTATGAAATGGAGTACTCGCACACGGAATCCGAGGAACAAGAACTTCTCGGCCCTGCAAACGAGCAAGTCGGCGAGGAACACGGGACTGTCTTGTAAGTCGACGATTTACTCGGATCAAACATCGGGTCGATTTGCTGGTAGCAATTCGGGCAAGGTTTGCACTGAGTCCAAATGATGTCGCTTCCAGTGTCAGCAACGGCTACAATCGAAAACGGCGGCGTTCCGAGGGATACTTTCACAACGTATGCGCCTCCGCTGTTGTATATTGGGGCTCTCCCCGTGTCTGTCAGCGACACCGTCCCACGGCTGATGGAGCGACGGAGAGCGTCGGCGATGCGTTGGTAGTGTGTCTCTGATGCGTTGAAAAGTGGGAACTTGGGGAAGTCACGGTGGACAAGTTCGACGGAGAAGCCATAGCCACCGTCTGCGGCAGCGGCAGCGGCGGAGGAGACAAACAAAATCAGTGAGAAAATGAGTGCCATTGATGAATTGATGATGAAAATGAATGGGGAATTCGAATAAATATATAGGAATGAGAAACATGAAGGGTCAGCAAAAATGGAAGTGAATCAATTAGGAAATTTATAATCGTAATTAATTTTGATGATTAAAAACGCTCTGTGTTCCATTATCCGATGAACATTGCCATTTTTTTCCTTTCAAATTCTGGAATTTTAAGGTTAACTTGCTAGTTTGTTTTTTTCTTTATTTTTTTTCCTAATGTGAAGATTCAAACCTGCCATTTTCGAATGTTATAGCACAGACTTTTTTTTTTTTTTTTGGTGGTGGAATTGATTGCTTTTTGGAATATATTGTAGACCAGAAAAATGTTTTATAGGATATTTTTAACATTGGTTTTATTTTCATTTCCAAATTTCTCCTTTAAAAAATTAAATTTATAAATACTATATATTATCTAGAGATGTTAATACCGTAAAGACAGGATAGAAAATTCTTCTCCATCTTTATTATCACCTCTTATTTTTATTTGTTATTTTAATCTTCATTTCAGATCATTTATTTATTTATTTATTTATTTATTTATTTATTTATTTATTTATTTTGTAGCATGATTGCTCAAAGAATGCCTACGCTATATACCCACCTAGAGATGTCTATGAGAAGGAAATTGGAAAGTCTTCTCTGTCTTTGTTATCATCTCTTATTTGTTATTTTCATCCCATTTTCGATAAAATTTTCTTTTATTTTTTCTTATATTGAAACGGGTTGCCGGTATATTTTTTAAAAAATATATAATTTATATTTTAAAATTTTTAATATAATATTTAATGTAATTCTTATATGGATAGTAATCCCAACTATGTTTAAAATTTATTACTAAGTAAATAAATGTGTATACATATAATATACATATTAATTTTTTAAATTTATTATTAAATAAGTAAATAAATGTGTATACATATAATATACAATATATAAAAAGTGGGGCATAGCGCGGATCGGAGGCGAGATCGAGGTTAGGACAAAAAATATAATCCCCTCGGTCCAATTTAGCTAATAGGGACAAATTTATCTCTCCTTTCTGTATGTTTTTCGATACGAAATAAGAAGTCTTAATCATGTCACAAAGATTTCACGGTGAATCACAAATTAAGAAACGAGTTTTATTTACTCTTGATCTTAAATCATTAAGTTAATCCATTCTAAAAAAAATTCTTAGGTTGATTCTTGATAGTTTTTTGGGTTATTCGATAATTTAGATATAAAAGTATTATTTTTCAACTATTAGATCAAATTCTAAGAGTTTCATAACATTTACGATAATTATCATATAGTTATCATATTTGCCCTTTTATTATAGACAAATATCTTGTATTCATTTATTGTTCTTTTTTTTTTATCTTTTGTAATTTATTTGATTCTCGAGATTATTATAAACAGGGAAGTTTAATATCATTTAGGTGGGGTGGTTTGAGCAATTATTCTCAGCTAGCAGACCCCTGGATGACTGCCCTTGATACCATTTGTAACAGCCCAAACCCACCGCTAACAAATATTGTCCGCTTTGGCCCGTTACGTATCGCTGTCAACCTCACAGTTTTAAAATGCATATGCTAGAGAAGGTTTCCACCTTATAAGAAATGATTTGTCCCTCTATCCAACTGATGTGGGATCTCATAGACAGTGATCCTAATAAACCGGTTTAATCATAATAATTCCAAAGTTAAGTTTGCTCGAGTTAGACAAACCCTATGTTGAATGAGCACAAATTTATTGAAATAACTCGAGCATGAGAATATCATAAACATAAAGTGTCGAATCTTGAGGCGTGATGTGTTGTGATTTTTTAATCAATTGACTAAAAAAATACCAATCATAGGGAAAAAAAACTAAAAATTATTCAAAATTGGGCTAAATGTATATGGATGCATTATTTTTTTTTATGTGCCATTTTATTCTCCACGTTTTTTTAAAAATAGAAATCGTATTAGTTTATATAAGTCTAACTTAAACTAGATATATATATATATATATTTTAAGATTAATAGAAATAAATATTTTAATAAATGAAGAACGTAAGTCGTTCAAGCAATAGAAAATCATAATAACAAGGACATGATAAATCACGAGGCAGCACAATTTGCTGGCTTGAAAAAAATAGATGATTTCTTGATATTACAGCTAACCAAGAAGTTAGTCGGTGCAATGTTGCCATAGATTTGCATGTTGTTTTCCCTGCTGTTGCCAACAAATGCCAAGCAAACGACGTCGTCCACCACCCTAATGAACAGATTTTCTCGCTTGAGATTCACGTCGTCGTCTTTGAAGTGCGCTGTGACAGGCGGCACCTTATAGTCGTTGGTGGTTCTCTCATAGCAATACTCCAAGGTTTGAATTGGACTAGTCATGGACTTGAGGTCCATCACCTCCGAAATTGCCTGAGAGAAGCTAGCAAAGATGTCCAGTTGTAAGAATGTAAGCGTCGTGCCAGAGTCGATAATGATGTTCCCGTTTGTTCCAAATGGTGAAGATCTCAAAAAATTAAATTTGTTGCTTCCAACACTCATTGCTTTTATTTTCAGGAGGTAGAATATTTTGTAGTCACCTTCTATAAACATGAACAAAAAAATAATTATTATTTATACAATTCATCTTAGTATAACTAACTCACAGTAAAAATATAATATCATCCACTTTTAAACCCTAAATTTAGGTCAACTCCTTTTTTCGAGAGCACGACCATTATTATCCACTTTTAAACTTTAAATACTGGTCTGACTCCTTTTCTATGGAGCGCATTACCAGTGTGATCCCCTTTTAAACCCTAAATCCAAGTTAACTCCTTTTCTATAGAGCACACGACTTGCTTGCTCAACATCCAAACATTCGATTAAATTAAGAGCATGACTTTAGTATTATCGATCTATTAGTTATATACCTATGATTTTTTTTTTACCCATGATTTTTTCTTAATGAGACGTTTAACTACCCACTAATCATTTTATCGATAAAAAAACGTTTGTATTTACCGCTAGTATAAATTGGAGTCGAGACGGCTCTAGAGCCAGAGACCGACAGCATTAGAGCCGAAGTTAAGATAGCTCGAGTAGTTAGAGTTTCCGATGGGTGCCAAACAGTAAGAGAATTTTCCGCCGGTGGCCGGCCCCATCTGCTGGACAAGCGAAGCTGAACCATGACTGAGCCCAACAATCCCAGAAACCTTAGAATCAAAAGAGCCAGCATTGTCATGGCCACAGCCAATCGCAATCCGTGGAAACGCCACGGGGCGGCCGGAGGTGGAGTCCATCGTAAGGGTATCAACGGCAATATCCCCGTTGCTGTGGGATCCATCGCCGTATGAAATGGAGTACTCGCACACGGAATCCGAGGAACAAGAATTTCCCGGCCCTGTAATCGAGCAAGTCGGCGAGGAACTCGAGACTGTTTTGTAAGTCGACCATTTACTCGGATCAAACATCGGCGCGATTTGCTGGTAGCAATTCGGGCAAGGTTTGCACTGAGTCCAAATGATGTCTCTTCCAGTGTCAGCAATGGCTACAATCGAAAACGGCGGCGTTCCAAGGGATATTTTCACAACGTACGCGCCTCCGCTGGTGTATACTGGGGCTCCCCGTGTCTGGCGGCGACACCGTCTAACGGCTGATGGAGCGACGGAGAGCGTCGGCGATACGTTGGTAGTGTGTCTCTGATGCGTTGAAAAGTGGGAACTTGGGGAAGTCACGGTGGATCAGTTCGACCGAGAAGCCATAGCCACCGTCTGCGGCAGCGGAGGAGGCGGCGGCGGAGGAGATTAACAAAATCAGTGAGATAATGATTGCCATTGGTTAATTGATGATGAAAATGAATGGGGAATTCGAATAAATATATAGAGATGAGAAACTTGAAGGGTTAGCAAATATGGAAGTGAATCGATGAGGAATGTTATAATCGTAATTAATTTTGATGATTAAAAACTGTTCTATTATTCAATGAATATTGCCATTTTTTTTTCCCTTCAAATTCTGGAATATTAAGGTTAAATTGTTCGTTTGTTTTGTATCCTAATATAGTTTCGTGTTTATATAAAGATTCAAACATGTTATTAGCCTTGCCTTTTCGAATATTGTTAAATGTTTTATATGATATTTTTAGCATTCATTTTATTTTTGTTTTGAATTTGAGATAGAAAGTCTTCCCTATCTTTATTATCACCTCTTATTTGTTATTTTAATTCTCATTTCCGTCAAATTTTTCATTAATTTTTTATTGCGAAGCAGAATTTCACGAACTAACTAAAAATTTTGGGACAAAAATTAATATTTTGAAATTTATGGTCCAAATAGAAACTTCCTAAACATTTGATACATAGTCACTTAAATTTAAATAATACATTCATTCAAATACCAATGAATAAACATTTTTGCATTAAATATTAATTATAAGTAGCCTTATTATTACACCATTTAATTTAATTACTAAAAATAATTAAATAAGTATAAATTAATTAGAATAATAAAATTATTGACAAAAATTTTATCACTATACTAATTATAATTTAATAAGTGTAATTTAGCTTTAAAAAAAATCAGTTTTTTGGGACAGAAAAGCGGGGTCGTGTGGCTTGTTTTGTACTGCGCATTATTTGGGTGGAAAACTCCATTGATGTGCTAATAGAAAAGGAAGCAACTCCCAAAGAAGAGATCAGGGTTTCTTCTCCACCAACTCCGTAGAATTTTGGATCAAGATTTCGTCGACGATCAAGTTCTTCCGGCGCAGGTCGGTTTTTTCTTCGCTTTTTTCTAGCTTTTGCGCTTCTTCAATCTTCTCCAATGATTTCCAATCGAAACAATCTATTGAATCTCGACATGCATTGATCCTTCGATTCAGTTTCCCCTTTGTTAGCCATTTCTGCCTTTCTTCTATATCTTTTAGTTTCGCCGTGTCTAGATCTTGGGCGGCGTATCGTCTATGATTTCACATGCGTTTCTGCTTCTCCTTTTTCTTTTATAGATTTGCTTAGATTTGAGATAGATTACGTCTTTTTGTGGTTACGCTTATGTTAGGGCTTAATCGTCTCTTCAAATGAAATGAGCAATCGAAGTCTTGATATTTATTGAAATTCGTAGTGTAGGTTGAATATATGAGTTTTTGTCGCCACTCCGAGTGCTAGTGCGGCTAGAAAACTCTGGTTGGGAGTTCTTCTAAGACCGTGAACTTGTGTGTGTAGCAACATTGATGTTATCAATATGTTATGTGATTCTGAGCTACAACAATGCTTCTGTTTCTTCAGAATAACTGGTCTTGTGTAATGTTACCCCCCAGGCTAGTTGTATATTTTGATAAGACGCTCATTGATCAAGTGCATATCTCTCTTTGAACAAGAATCGTGTCCGGAGAAACCTTGACTTGGTTGAAATTGTTCCTTGGAACATCTACACGTATTAAGAATGTGGGCGACACTTTATCATAGACATTGAAGTTAACGATCTTCACTGTTAAAGAAATTTGGTATCCGCGAGCTTCATCATGATTTTTTGTTTAGAGGTGTGGTGGGAATGAACATTATTACCCCTGAGAAATTTGAAGAAGAGCTTACCTCCATGATACAGGAAACTTTGAAAAACCATGTCCTGAGTCTAAAGTTCTGATAGCATCTTAGGGTTTAAGAAGAGGAAAGAATGTATTACTGATTAATTACCATGAATTCACACGACCCCTGACGAACTTTAACAACTTAACTTCAAGAAATTGATAACATTAATTTGCAATGAACTTTGTTTAACCGTGTAAATCAAAGTTGTGCCATTATGCTTTTTGGAGTTCCAATTTTCATGCTTTTGTGAGAAGCAAAGTCTTCTCTGTTTAACCATTTCGAGTTTTGACCCCCCTATAAGAGGTTTGTGGATCACAAATCCACGATAAATTCTTCTGATGATAGGACAGTATGGCTACAGTAAAGAACCTGAAGATTAAGACAGCAACCTGCAAACGCATTATCAAGGAGTTGCATTCTTACGAGAAGGAGGTCGAGAGAGAAGCTGCCAAAACCGCTGACATGAAAGAAAAAGGGGCTGACCCTTATGACCTTAAGCAACAGGTACGTAAATGGCTTGCATTCTTAATAATCAAAAGTTTATACGATTATTGTTGGCTTGATTGCTTGTGGTTTTATTTGTGCCATCCGTGAATATCTTAAAGAAGACTTTTTAGACTGACTTGTTCAACATTACTCAATATGAACAATAGAATTTGTGAGCGTGTAGATTATGTGATTTGAACTATGGAGAAGAATAATGGTCCCAAATTTGGAACATAATTTCTGTTCAACTTTATGTTTTGAAAGCTATAAAATCAAAACGACCAACTAAAATATTATTTCGGTAATGGAGATTGAATGAAATGTTATCATCATATGAATCATCTTCTTCAATTGGTCTATATATTATTATGATTTTACAGTTAGCATTCTCACTGTAAGCAGGAAAACGTTCTGGCTGAATCAAGGATGATGGTTCCCGATTGTCACAAGCGTCTGGAGTCCGCCTTAGCTGATCTGAAAGGAACACTGGTATTGGCTTTTCATTCCCTTTTTTGCTCTTATGAGGAGCTTGATTCTAGAAGGTTATCTGCACGTGCCCAATTTTTGTTAGTTTACTAAAACAAATCCTTATCGACTTCTTCATGTCCAGGATGAACTGGAAAAATCAACACAAGTGAAAGGCCCTGAGTTTGACGATGCTCGGAGCATAATCACTGAGATCGAAAGTTTCCTTAAGACAACAGAGGAATAGTAGTGATCTTAATTACCAATAACAGAATTTTATATTGATAAGCTATTAATCAAACTATTGCTTTGCAATATTACTTTCTCTTGTCCGGCTTTTGGTTGCTATGTTCATACTTTGGAGAGATTCATTCCCTGTTATTCACTCCTATCATCAAGTTTAAGACTAAAATCTTCTGTTTCTGCTGGGTGTTGTATTTTAAAATATTTTGATGGTGTTTGTCCCTATTTAAAAGGAATGTAGTAAAAGTATGTATAACAGCTACCTAAGCACATTTGCTCGTTGAACGAGTGCTACGTAAGAATTGACCATGGGTAAGCCTAGTAGCATTATTGATTTCAACCCTATGGTCGCTATTAACTTCGAGATATTATAATTCTTTTGAGTTTTCTTGATAATCAAATGTCGTTGGATCAGGTGGCACAACTTAGAATCACATACTGTACAAAATGCTAAATTTTATAGCCTTCACAGATAATTTCATACAGATCTGTATGTGCATCTTTGTTTATGCTTCTACACATCAATTATACCTTACAAACACTTCATTTTCCTTTAGAATGCCGAGACGCTCTCCTAATCTTCCTTCGGAATGGCCTACACGCCTCAATGCTGAGACCAACGGCTGCAGCTAGTGCCATGAAAATGGCAGCATCCTCTGTACATGTCACATGTCGCATGGCGAGTTGCACCATTGGCTTACTGCTCTTTCCTTCCCCTTGTACTCTACAACTCATGACGAAACCTCCGACCAGTTGGCCTAATGCTGCAAAGTCTCCGCTGCTCTGCGGGCTTGGTATTGGAACTGTTGCTGCTCGTAACTGTTTGTCAGTGTCTATGAAGAACTCCCCACCTCTCTCAGCATTGATATGGATCTCAGACATGAGAAGTTCCCCTCCCTCTTGAGCTTCGGAGAGAAGGTGAAAGCGACAGCAGACAGTGTCTCTAATTCCTCGCTCGCGCCATGCCTCGAGCTTTCCCCATGGCTGCCAACTTTCAGGTATGCAAACATCAGGACGAACAATCAGCCAAGACCCGGGGTTTGACCGGGCAACCCAATCGCAACCTGCTGATGGCACAAAGGGAGTAGTTATGAAGGCTGCTGCAACAGCCGAGCCAGAAAGATCATGTATCTTCACCTTCCAGCCTTTTCTTTCTCTCCGCTCGACCTTGAGGTCTGAGCCATCACCAGAACCTAACCAATCTGAGCCATCACCAGAACCTGACCCTGACCAATAGTTGCTCAATGAATCCAGCTGGGATACCCTATAAATTTGATTCAACTGTCAAATATGAAGTCCAACACAAAATGTTCAACAGAAGAAAGTTATTGTTCTAGTGTTGCATGAGTTGCATCACCTGTCTCGACTAAATTTGCAGCTAAAGATCGGCTGTTTGATCGAGCCTAGAAGCTGGACGATTTGCGGGCTTAACCTCGTAACATCTTCAAACTGAAAAACATATCTTGGATCAGGATCAAGTTTCACTCTCAAATGAAGCTCTGCTCCATGTCTTCCATTCTCATTCTTGCTTTTGCCAATGCCTATCCACCCATTGAAAAGAACGACAGGCTTCCCATCGCCCCATTCGGGACCGACATCCAGTTTAAACGTCCCAATCAGCTGCCTTTTGATGCCAACACCACAATGAGATCCCTTCCTTCCAGAGAAGACAGATATTTCAAGACAGGCATGAGTGTTATAGAAGCAGCCAGGTGCTAGTAATGCTTTCAGATCAGACTCTTCAAGATAGAAGCTTGAGGCAATGCTATGAGAATCAGGTATGGCTTCAGGAGACGGGAGAAGCGGGATTGAAGACGTCTGCACAGGGAAACCCCGAAGACGAATTTCACACGAACACGGTGCAGAGAAAGCATTGACTCCAGGTTTTGTAGAGTTTAGAGCAGCTCCTGGGATTCTCAATCCCAAAGATCCAATTGACAACCTAATAAAAGCCTGAGGATCCATTTGGGTCACAATTTTTTGTCCATTTGATATAGGTAGTTTATAATGCCACCAGCTCAAGTATCCTGAACCAACACAAAAACAATCAAAATG